TCATGGAATACTTTCATTTAAATTTTTTTGTGAAATGTAATTTTCTTTAAAAAATGCTTTCTGATAAAAGGCATAATATATATATATTATATATATATTATATATTATATATATATTTTATATATATATATATATATATAACGTGTTGGGCCCGGCGTGGTGGCCTAGAGGCTAAAGTCTCTGTCTTGAATGCGCAGGGATTCCATATGGGCACCATTTCTAACCCCGACAGCTCTGCTTCCCATCCAGCTCCCTGCTGTGGTCTGGGAAAGCAGTCAAAGATGGCCCAAAGCCTTGTGACCCACATGGGAGACCTGGAAGAAGCTCCTGGCTCCTGGCTTTGGATGGGCTCAGCTCCGGCAGTTGCGGTCACTTGAGGAGTGAACCATCAGACAGAAGATCTTTCTCTCTGTCTCTCCTCCTATCTGTATGTCTAACTTTGCAATAAAAACAAATAAATCTTTTTTTTTAAAGTGTCAACAAGATAGAATTCTATGTTGGGCGCCTGTCATAGTAGTTGAGATGTTGTTGCTTGGGAAGCCTGCATCCCGTGATAGAGTGCCTGGGCTAGATTCCCTATTGGTGAGACAGAATCCGGGAGGCAGCGTGTGGTTCAAGTGCTTGGGTCTCTGTCATCCACGTGGGAAACCTGGACTGAGTTTTAGGGATGAGGAAGGAAGGGACATTTAGGGAGTGAACCAGTGGATGGGTTCTGTGTTTCTATTTTAAAAAGTGAAAAATGAAAAAATATCTGACTTTCTGTCCTGGAGTGCTTAGGTAACCAGGCAAGTGAGGCCTGCCCACAGTGCGATGATCCATGCTCACACACCTATGTTTAGTCCTTAAGAACACGTGTGCTTCTCAGAGGCTCCTTGAGGACATCGTGGCATAAGTCCCAGGCCAAAGGAGAAAGGACTCAGCGTAGTTGCCCACATATTTTGGTAAAAGTAGGTTACAAATTTTTACAGGAAAATAGCTAGCATCTCTAAGAGCAGAAAAAGTTAACCCTTTTCTTGTATCCTTTTATTATTAAGTATTACCTTTCACCTTGTTTTCTGAGTCCCACATCTTGACCTAAAGGGTCAGTTGGTCAGGTTAGGCTTGTAATACTAACTTGTAAGATCTTTGTGTAAAGATAAAGTTACCGTCCTTGACTTCACCAATCCCTTTGCTACACAGAGCTGAAAGCGAGGCTCAGACTCTCTACTAAAATCTTCAAGAATGTTAACACCGTTTCAAAATTCATATTTTCAACAAAAATATGCACAGATTGCTTTACAAAACATACGTAAGATCCAGGATTGATGGCACCTTTCAAATATTACACAGTTTCTGAAATCTTTAAGGAAAATGACGCAAGAGAGGCAACCTAGGAAGGCCAGGAAGGGGTCCCTGCAGCGGAGGTGGGCCCTGCGTTGTGTCCAGCACACCTTCCTCTGGGCAGCAGGACCACACTTGGTCGTGAAGCAGTGGCTGATAGATGTGTTAATCAATGTGATCGCCTTTCTTTCACGTACGTTAGTGATATGGTTTCTGATCTCTTTTCACTTGAGCTGCCTTTTTTTTGCCTGTTTGATGCAGCCGTTGTGAATTGCTGTCCTAATGAAAAGACAGAACTCTTTATCCAACTTCAAGTGTTATTCTAAGGAATTATCTCCCAGACATACCATGTTCTAAAGACAACACCAATTAAGATAAAAATGTTTTATTTCTAGAGAACTTGCAAGAGTTGCTTGCCATTGCTTTCGGCATTCATCCCCATGTCACTGAGCATGCAATTGTTCTCTAGCTTTTGCTGGTTTCCAGGATTAAACACATCAACATGTCGTCCTGAAGTCATAAAAGTTACTGAGATAGTTTTGCTGATTAGCAATAAGGGCAGACAAAAGAAGAATGCCTAATTTCAGGGAGCCAATTAATATTCACTTTAACTTGATTATGAGTAATCAAAAACTATTAAGGTTAGGGAGGATGAGGTCAGGTGATCTGATCCCCAAATACAGACCCTGTTGAGTTCTATCAATTTACAAATGTTTTGTATTGAGTTAAAGCTAGAATCTTGATGTTCCCAAGACATTTTACATATCAGATTGTACAGAACTCTTTACTCAGTTATGTAAGCAGCATTTGGCAGGGTATTTAAACTTTGAAATTCTTACACTATTTGTCAGTTCTTAATTGATTTTGTATAGATCTTAAGTGCAACATTTAATTATGTACCGTGTATGCCATTAACAAATGTGTGCATTACACAAATATGTGAATGAGCTTAAATCCTCTTATGTCTGGGAGAGACGATTCTATTTAGCAAAGACAAATTCTAACATTGGGGATAAATTATAGTTAATATTGGAAAATGAGTGTGATAGCTTACTTATATTTTGTATATATTACCAACAGTCATTAACTTATTTCTTCAGTCTGTTAGTGACAGTTGAGCCCCAAATGTATGAATTTACTGAGGGCAAGAATAACAGCGACATAGAAATATATAGGCATGAATAAGTGGCAACATCTCAACTTGAATAGTGGGTAAATGATATCTTATCCAAATAATCCTACAAAATGGCCACACATTTGTGGTAGCCATCACATACCGGTCAAGCCTTTCCTAATTGGGCTGACATTGTAATTAAATGGAAATACTTCTCTTCATCAGCCAGTGCACGTTGCTATTGGGGAATAAGCAGGCTTAGAGATAGCACGGAGCCAAGTGTCAGGGAACCCGATTTTCCAGGGGGCATTACCAGACATTTGCACAAGAGACCTGAGTCAATGAAAACATTGACCACTGTTTGTTTAGGTGGAGCCCATGACAACAGCAGCCAGGGACAGCCAGAGGGCCATTTGGGCACACTGTGGTGGGTGGGACAACCAGGAGGTTGGAACTATTGCAAAGTTGGTTGGAGTCTGTTTCAGCTTGGAAAACAGGTGGCTCTGGGCATAGTGCAAGGTCACCTGAGACTTACTTTCTAAATTCCATGAATGACCGGGAATTTGGTTTTCAATCTTTTCGTACAATCAGAACCTCTTAATAATATCACATACATTTCCCACAGCCACATGGTAGGCATTGTACTTTCATTCTGCTGACAGTTGAGGAATTAGCACAGGTGGATGCACATGCACCTTTGGAGAAACCTGTAAACCACAGTCTGAGAGACCTACCGCTGGGGGAATGGCATCTAGGGCCAGAGACTATCTGATTTTCCTTGGAGTGGTAGACCAGGACAAGCCCCTCCCATGGCCTGCTTTCCCGTGACCTCAGGAGGGACTTGAGGCCACCTGGAGATTTCTGACTCTTTGAAACCCTTGTTCAGCAAACTCTCAAAATTGGGGGATTTTGTTATGTGACACTAGATGATAAATACACAAACCGACGAACCACAGCCACCCCTAAACAACAAAGCAGAAACATACCAAAATAGAGTCAAAACACACACCTCAAATTTCTAGAGTACAAAGGGACATGCTGAACACAGTTCTTCCACTTCAAGGAATGTGCCTCCAAAGACACAGAAACAAATCAACGTGCTCCTAAAGCAGTTTTCCACTATTTCCAATTTTAAAACACACATGCTACTTGCAACGGTGTACTGTGCTTAAAAATGGAAGACAAAGACATTCAAAGCTAAAGTTACAGAGAAGCTTAGAACAAGGTAGGACGCCTGAATGCAGAAGGTAGGCCAAAGAAAGCCCCCATCTCTGCAAATAGAATCTTCCAATCCAGCTTCAGAGACTGGATGGCAGGCAGCAATCAGCAAGTAGACACACAGCTTCACCATTCATTAAAAACGACTGGAGCTAATCTGAAAGGAGCCCTCCCCTGGCATTCTCTCCCAGGGAAGATGGCTGCCTGCTCAGCCACGCACAATCAGTGCGCCTTACACAGTAGGCAGTGGTGACTAAGGCCCCGGAGTGTGGCGCCATTTCCATAATTTCTGAGGATAGGCAACAGCCGTGAGCTTTCATCCTAATGCAGTCACACTTAAGAAATCCAGAGATCTTTTCTTCCCTGTAAGGTAAACGGGCATCTCCTTGTTTTCTGCTTTCCAAGGCTTCCCCAGCACTGTGGCTCCGTCCCGGGTTTTGTGACCTGCACAACCTGGCACATAGGGAGGCAGGCTAAGGGACAGCTGATGCCAACACATGCCCAGGTGGTGTCCAGTGCTCAGCCAAGAGAGAAGCCTGGGGACGACTCTGTCACCCATCGCCCCTTCCACACAGCTCCCCTGGAAGCTGCAACGTTAAAAGAAAGGTTCCCCTTCAAAAGGCAGCAGCATTTTAAAAACATGTATGCTGCCTTCTTTTTCTTGACTGCAGGGAATTTCACACTGGGGTTATTATGCATTTGTCATTCTAACCTGCAGCTCAGCAGGCCTCTTTGTGTGTGAGTTACGCCCTCCCTCCCTCCCAGCATCAGAGTCAGCCTGCAGCCACGGTTTCACTGCAGATGCTCCCTGGGTCACGTGTGTGGATGTCTCAGAACAAACCTTTTCCGTGCTTTTTTACCGGCTTCCATAACAGGCACATCAGTTCTGCTCATCTCTATTTCGAATGATTTTATGACCCAATAACTGTGCAAGTTTCCCATATAAATCTTTGTTTTACTTCTTGAAACAATTAGGCAAGCTGACACGAAGATACCACTGTTTCCTAGCTCCGTCACCTCCATCTACTTGAAGGCAACTGTGAGGGATGAAGACAGTGTCCTTTGGCGTGGCCAAGCATGGAAGGAGAGTTTACAAGTCTGGCTCAATGAGTGGTGCACACCTTAGATATTTTCATAAACAGTTGAAGCAGAAAACCTTGCTATGACGCTTCTTCTCATAGGCATTTCCGTAGTTTTAAGAATCTTAAACATTATTTCCTCATACATCAACTTCAAAGATGAGGATGCAATGGGAAAATGAAAACAATAAAAATATAATCCTAGCTCATTTGCAGACGCAGGAAAATATGGTAGAAGTCAGCACCCAGTGGGCACAGACAGTACTCACCCCACAGCCCAGGCCACTGCCTCCCTCGCAGGTGACCTTCCTCTGGCCTGGCTCGGGCAGCAGCCCCGCTCCGCAGCCTGGGCTGGGGCACAACACACCGCCCATTTGCAGCACGCATTCCTCTGCGCCGTACTGCTGGTACCGCTGGTACTGCAAAGGCAAGGTGAGTTTCAGAAAAGGACCATGCACGCAAGCACATGAGATCATTTCCGTGTGAAATGGGTGTGTAGGGAGGGATGGAACAGGACAAGGCGTGGCGATGAGTAGTCTTGCCAATTCAAGTGGGTAAGATGCAGTAGTGGTGGGTTACTCTGCAGCTTTAGCTTCAGAGGGTAGAATTTTAGAAGTTCATTTTTTTTTAAAGATCGATTTGAAAGGCAGAGTGACATAAACACTCCTCCACCCTCTACTTCCCCACCACACCCAAGCTCTCAAATGAGTGATTAAAGCCAGGAGTCCTATCTGGGTTTCCTATACAGGTATCAGCAACCAAGTATTTGGGTCATCTTCTGCTTCCCTCCCAGTGCGTTGTCAGGAAGCTGGATCTGAAGTGGAGCAGCTGGAACTCCAACTGGTGCTCATAAGAATATGTGCTGCAGGCAGCAGCTTAACCAGTTGCACCATAACGCTGCTTCCGCAGTGTTTTCTAACAGCATACCCTCTATTGCATTTAAGCAATTACATTTCATATTAAGGAGTCCATCTATGCATTAAGTGATGGATTCTTGCAATACCTCATTATCAGTCGTACAAAGCAGTACATTTGTATCTATTTGAGATCCTATGAGGTTTTATAATCCTTTTTGGAAACATCTTCAACATTCCACCTCATGAAAACCCTTGGCGCCACACCATATCAATAAGCATATTAGGCTGGAAGAAGACAGGAACGAACAGCAAGAGACAACATGTTCCTGCGATTCTTTTGAGGAACCCTTCACTCCGACTCTATTTCAATGGAGAAACCCCAGCTGCCACCAGAGTTCACTGCAGCCAGGGTGTGTGTCTGCGTGGAGGGGCCGTGACCCCACCCTGCTGCTTTCAGGATGGCCCTTCATCCTCCCATGTAGCACTGATCAGACCTGCTGGCCTCTGCTTCCCTCCATTGGGCTTGGGGGCCAGGAGACCTTTCCTCTCCTCGCCCATCGGCCACAAGGACTCCAGCCTTGTTATCCCTTTCCTATTTATTCTGATGCAACCCTGGACTTACTTCAACTTGGGGGTGCCAAGATGGGGGTGACTTTACACCACCTCCTCGAAACCCAAGATACAGCTCAGGAAGGCCTGGCAAATCTTGATTGGTACACTAGTCAGGCCTACGGCGGTGGGCTGTCTGACAAAAAGAAGCAGGGCGTGGATAAGGAGCTGGGAAAGGACGCTGTTTCTATCACACTGTTTCAGTTTGATAACTTATGTACTGAACACTGAGACAGCACATGGTCATCGAAGGACATCTGGGGACTGCATGGGGTAAGGCCCTCAGGCAAGTGCCAGGTGGCCGTGCAGTTACAGGATCAAGTGATGGATGGTAAGACAGTCTATCCTTGCATAATTGACAGGCAATACACTGCTTATGACTCTCTGCTTCTCTTAGAGACCCTGCACTTAAGATGTGCCCAGGTCACACTCTAGTACGCCATGAGAGGGTCAGAGGCGCCACGCTGGGGACCCGAGGCTTCTCCGCGGTTTTCCCGTGCCTCCTGATGTCCTGCATGCCTGAAGTTATTGACCAGGTTAAACTTGGCACTAGGTTAGCTCATTAACTCCTGTAAGCCTGGAGGTCTTCTGATCCTGTTCTCTCAGCAGCCACGGGGCTGGTTGAGATGACGTCACCTCCGTAAGGAAGATGAGGAGTAACCCACCTAGCTGGCTGAGGGGCAGGTGGAAAATGAGCAGGCTGTGTGTGTACTGAAAGCCTACAGGAAGTAGATACACAGTCCGGGTAGATCCAGGGGAGTGTATTCTGAAGATAGAGGAACGGTATGTTAGTGTGCTGGGGAAGGGCTGGGAAAGGGCAGGGAGCCCGGGGCAGAGAAAGGAGAGGGTAGAATGGGATCCCCAGAACAGAACCTCCACCTTGGATGCCAAGGAAGACTCCATCCTCAGGCAGCTGAGTGTCGAGGCAGGGTGAAGGGAGAGGGCAGGTGTACAGAAGAAGTGTTGGAGAGGATAGAGTAATGGAGGAAGAGGAAGGAGGAGGGAGTGAGTGTTCCTGCCAGGCAGCGATGCCAACCCCTGGAGGCCAGCAGCCATGAATTTAAAGGGACACTGGTCAGTAGAGCTCTCTGCTGACATAGCTACAAGCACTCCGGAGCGAGGCTACACTCACACAGGCAAGCAAGGCACCCTCCAGGCTTAGTAACACCGCAAGTTTGCTTTTGTTCCAGTTTGTTCAAACACCTCTACTGCAAAGAAACCCTTTTCCTGTAACATCACACAGATCTCCAAGGACTCACAGATGCAGATAATAAATTACGGGGTGACAGCCTTTTCAGTACTGTCCAGGTCAAGGGGCAGTGGTTTGGCAGGGCCCCAGCTGCCATCTGAGGTGTGTTGATCCCAGCTGTGATGCCCTGACTCCTTCCTGAAGGAGACCACCAGGACTGTCCTCCCTTTGCTATTCATAGTTTTTATTACGGCTCATTCTTGAACAGCATTGTTCATTAACCTGTCTCAAAAGTATGCCTTTTAACCCATGGCTCTCCACTCTCCTCCCTTCTCTCGCAATGCGTGTGATGGGAGAATCACATTGTGGAATCCTTGTCTCCCGGGTGGGGTTCTGCTGAGAGCATTTCTGGGATGCACTGACAGCCCTTGTCCGTGCTCTGTGTCCTGGGAATTCTGAGTGTATCCCCAAGTTTCCTTAGATCCTTGCCCTGCTTCCTTGCTCTCTCCCTGTCTGTCCATCACACCACTTCACAGATGTGTCATTAATCTCTATTTTAAGAGATTATTGTTCATTGCATAAGTTAACATCATACAGTTGAAAACTGGTTTAATTGAAACATTGCTTCATTTCTGGTTAGAATATTTCTACTCCTGTGTTATCCATTGTCACTGCTGCAATATGGAGGGGTGGATAGAACACTTGATTCTTTTTAAAAAGAGAATATTTACAGGCTCAGCTTTATGCATATTAGATGTTGAATGCATTTTAATTCACTCTAGCAACTTTCCTTTTTCAAATTTACCTAATTATTTATTTATTTGGAAGGCAGAGTTGTAGAGGGAGAAACAGAAAGAGAGATGATCTCTTTTCCCATCTGCTAGTTCACGTGACCAATGGGTACATTGACCAGGACTAGGTCAAGCTGAAGCCAGGAGCCTGAAACTCCATTTGCATCTCCCACGTGGATGCAGGAGTTGGAGCACTTGGGCTGCTCTCAGCTTTCCCCCAGGTGCACTAGCAGAGAGCTGGATGGGAAGCGCAACATCAGAGACCTGAGTCAGCACTGCTCTGGGGTGCTGGCATCTCAGGAAGCGACTTAACATGCTATGCCACAGCACAGGCCCTATGGCTCTCCTTCCTGACGCACGATGGTTCTACATCTGAACTATGGAACTCCTGCAAGTTGAATTCTCAGCTTTTCATCACATGACCTACTACTGCTTGAGGGCAGCTTTGCTATCTGGGATGGCAAACTGCTCAGGCTCGTCTTACACATTTTTCTTTTGGTGCCCCAGACTAAGGCTTACCTACCTTTAAAGAAACAATATTTTTTAAATATCTGAAGACCATTAACTGAGTGATGGTCTGTTCAATGGTCCTAAGTTATTCATTGTTGCTAGATTTTTTCCAACCCTTTCAAGGATGGTTAATTCAGAACTATAAAGTGCTTCCTCAGGGCAGGCATTGGCATGGAGGTTAAGCTGCTGTGTGGCACACCCATATTGCCTATCAGAGTGCTTGGGTTAAAGCCTGGATCCCACACCTGGGTCCAGCTCCCAGTGAATGTGCACCTGGAAGGCAGCAGATTATGGCTCAAGTGCGTGAGCGCCTGATGCCCCAGGGAGACCCAGGCTGGCTTTGGCCAGGTCCAGCCCTGGTGGTTGTTGCAGATGTCTGGTTAGTAAACAGGTGGAGGGAAGATCTGTCTGTTTATCTCTTTCTCTTTGCCTTTCCAGAAAACAAAACAGGAGTGTTCATTCAACATTTCATTTACCTGTTTGTCTCTTCTACATGGTTCTTAAGAACACAGATTCACGGACCTGGCACGATAGCGTCGCGCTCAAAGTCCTCGCCTTGGATGCGCTGGGATTCCCTATGGGTGCCAGGGCGCAGGTTCTAATCCTGGTAGCCCCGCTTTCCATCCAGCTCCCTGCTTGTGGCCTGGGAACGCAGTCGAGGACGGCCCAAAGCCTTGGGACCCTGCACCCCATGTGGGTGACTTGGAAGGAAGTTCCTGGCTCCTGGCTTCGGATTGGCACAGCACCGGCTGTTATGGTCACTTGGGGAATGAATCATTGGACAGAAGATCTTTCTCTCTGTCTCTCTTCCTCTCTGTACATCTGCTTTTCCAATAAAAATGAATCTTTGAAAAAGAACACAGATTCACAATTTTGTTTAAGAGTTTGGTTGCCCTAGCCTGCCTTGCACGCACCGCAGTTGTACAATTTTTGACAAAAGGCAACCACTTGGTTCTTGCGTATTGGAGATCTAGGACCCTCATTCTTATTGCTCAATTTTACATGAAATTAGATCTTTCAAAGCTGTAGAGGGAGGTGGAACTTGCAATTGTTTTCAATGGTTCCACATTTTTCTTCTCTAATGTTTTTGGCTATTTAAAAATAAAAGCTAAAAAATGTGAGGGCTTGCTCTCTGCAGTCTCCTGCCTGTGTCATCTTACTTTTTAACTGGAATCTCCCTTTCTCTGCCCTGAGAGCATTTCTCCTCTGTGTGGGGCTTTGGAGGTGATTGTAGGCTGGCCAAGATCTGTGAGTCCTGCAGGTCTAAGAGGCTCCTGTCTCGAGTCCCTTGCGCACATACCTCTTGCTTTTACACTCTGGCCTGGCCTGATTTCAGCATGTCCTGCTGATAGTTGGTGAATAATAAAAGCTGCGAAATGAATGTACTCTTACTCTATTAAGTGCCAGTTAATTGGGTAATTCTAAGAAAATAGCTAGTGGCATTAGGAATTCATAGGAGAATA